TTGAAATATGTGATAATTCAGGGATAAACTCAGTACACAGATACCTTTATCTCCATGATAACTCGAGTAGGTGTTATAAAACTATGGGTCACAACACTACTAGGTATCACAGGAGACTCCAAAAAGTGTCACAAAGGAGTTGAAAAAATTCAACAAATATATGAATGTTTTGTTGTTGTTATTCAAAGAAAGTTGCTTCTACTTCTCAACCTGTCTGATTGTTCATTTACTTTCTTTTCTTTTTAATCTACCCAAAGCTTTACTTAATTTTAAATTTATTAATTAAAGGGAAGACTCACTAATCAACATTGTCTAGACATGCTGATTGATCATTTTAAAGCTATGGAACAACCTGAAGATCAACTGTATTACTGTGCTAGCATTTGGGGGGGGGGGAGTTATGCTGTCTTGGTTCTTAGCTACATGACAGATGTGGTCGTGAATGTTCACCTTCAAAAAAAAAGTCCCAGACTAAAGAAATTGGGACTTGAGAGATTCAAGGACTTAGTATGTTGAAGGAAATATGTAGTGATTTGTTATAGGTGAAATTGGAGTTGAAGTTTCTACTAAGCTACTCGAGTACTATATGCACTAATCATCCTTAATCTTGAACTGATAGACAAAACAGAAATCCATGAATTGAAAGCACATGCTGCCAACTGTTGGACTACTCTAATGGAATAGTGGGATTTGACTGTCACTTTTATAAAATACCCATGGATCCAAAGCTTGGAGTGTAACTTTTTTTGGCTGTAACAAGGGCACAAACCTCAGATTCACAGTCTAGCACACTAACCATTGGGCTACATCGTAGGTAGAAATGAAAGAGACTTAGTGTTGTATTGAAATAAGAGCAAACATTTTGTCAATAAAGAAATAAAAGAATGGCTGACTGTACCATTGAAACATTTTCAGTGTCAATAATATCACGACCTTAAAGTAGTACTGTATAAACGAGGTAAAGTAGAATCCAAAACAACTCTCTCGTGAAATAATTAATAACTTCTGTGATCAGAACCTAAGTCTAAACTTATAACATGGCCTTGACGGTTATTAGTAAAGTCTACATGAAAACTTAAAAACATTTAAAGCTGTTTGATAAAAATTATATATATATATATGCTAAAGGAGAGTGAGGTATGCAAGTGTAACCAGAAACCCAACCCACTCTTCTTACCATCATTAATGGGGGATGCTTTTCCTTGAAAGATAGAGAAATGTTTGTTGGTTAAATTGGGAGAAATGCTTGACCAATAATTTAGTTTAAACCTTCTGGAGTTTAAAGTATTTTAAGTGTCTGAATTGTCCGAGTAAGTTGACCTTTGACATTTAGTTTTTGCTTGCTTATCTTGGGGGGGGGGGGGGAAAAAAAAAGGGGCGAGGGACCCCCCTTCAAAGTTTTGCCATTACAGTCAAGCTCTCACTGTCAGATTTGATGGGTGTAATATTTGTAAGGTTAGTTTAAGCCTTACTGAAGCTATATGTACTCCATAATAGTAAATTTTGATTGACCCCGATCACACTGTGTCAGGGGATGTCGGCAAGACTGCGACGGTCTCTTTGATCAACTGAATGAGAATTACCATGTCCAATATCGAAGAAGTCGCCGTGGTAGCGACGTTTGTTTCAATATTTAGCTACAAGTTATGTATCTATAGACTTTAAGTAAAGCTGCTGACATACCTGGCGACGTTTATTGTAATTGAAAATTAAATGTAACAAGAAGTGTGAAATTGTGAAGTGATTAGAAACTTGTAAATTCATATAAATATGCTGAATGAATAAAGAAAGAATTGTGTCTCATTTTCCAAAGGGGGCGTACTTCCTTTTCCCCCTCCCCGGACGCCCATGTATGGAGTTTACGGATTATTTAGGCTGGTTTAAAAACACCTAAACTCTTCATGTTGTTCTGGTCTTCTCAGATGATTGATATCGCTTCGAGTATAAGATAACAGACTCACAATAACAGCGAATTCGCCCAGGACTATTGAGAGTGTTTGAAAAAAAGATAACCAATCAGCATTGAAACTACATGATGTCACAGTTGGTTCAACGCCGACTGACAACCCCTTTCTTATCATTGTGGACGGCGTTATTTCTTGACCTCTATTTCCTGACAGAATTTGGTCGGCTGTCACTTTCAGTCAACGTTATAATCAGCCACACAGTGATATTTCAACACTAACCCGCTCAACTCCGATTCTATGTACAGTACTGAAACACTTGCGGGCATACGAAACGCCACTTACTAGAGAACAAAGGGTGAAGTAACTGGAATAAGACAAAGGTAACAACTATCTAGATCACGACAGTACAGAGATTAAGTAACAAAATTTTCTATATCGTTGTAGAAGGTAGAAAACACATATCGCCATGTATTTGTGACATCAGAAGGTTTATGGTTGTACTGTTTTAAGTACATTTCATAACAAAAATAAATAATCAACTTTTATGTGCTAATAGTTTTCTTTCTTTTCTTTATTTATTTTTCTCACAGAACAGTATAATTTGCTTCATTAAACGGGAACGTCATTATTTCTCTTTCATTTAAGACGGTAGGCTTACAAAAGTTTTGTAAAAACTACTAAGACATTCCAAGTTCCTTAGATGTAATAAATCTAAATAATTATAACTTTACAAAACTGCCAAATATTCATATTTCATTTCGTATTAATAAAACGTAATTTTAACTATCGCTATTGTGATTATGAAATTCATCCACAAAATTTAATTGACGCTTCTTGTCTTCTATAAATCAGGATTCTTCTATAAAGTTGAAAATTTATATTGTAATAAATATTTCAATTGAATATATTGTAGCCGCGGTAACTGAAAATATTGCTTTCATTTATATGCCGCATTAGCACATTACTGAGTTTATTTATTTTATACAGTGTATATTTTACAGCTTTGTGATTTATGGCATAATTATTATTATTAATTTCGGGCATTTCGAAATAATAAGCAGAGGCCGCCACCAATCATGTTGTGTTGTGGAAAGTCATCACTGGCCTTTTATTTAATTTTTTTGTGTACGTTAATCTAAATTTGAGAATAATAATTTTTGGATTGGGCTCCTATGAAGACGATATAGTTTTGCCAAGTTTTAATGAAGTAAGATTAATAATATATTAAGAGTAAATCTTGGTCAGTAGGTTAAGAAACAAACTCTTCGTCACAGTAATAAATGTTACTGTTGCTCTAATGAATCAGACATTTTTTTTTACTATTTTGCTCAAGCTTTCAATCAAAGTATCACTACTATTACTAGCAAAAATATCGGGCAATTCTTCCAAAGTGATTCGAATTATATAGTTGTTTATGACATTAGTGTAACATGTATTGAACAACAGATCGTTAAGTTGAAAGTTAAAACAAATTGAAAGATTGGTTATGCAATACAGAAAAAGGAATATAATAACCTAGTAGAGTAATACAGTTAATAAACAGTTGTTGTTATCGTAATTTTGTGCTATGAATAGCTGTATTATTCTTTTTAAAAAAGTATATTCTATCATAAAGTTCTTGCAATTTGCAAAAACTAAGTGACTTGGTAGATCTAGAGAGGATAAAATATTTAGAGTTAAGTAGTAAAAGTATAATAATTTGGCATTTTTTATTATTTATCTTATTTTACATATACTGTAAGGTTTATTAGCATAATGTAAAGGCCTAACAAAATTCGCAATTTATCATTAGACAATTCTGCTGACTGTTTGAAAATTTTGGGTTGCCATCTTAATTTGTTGTTAAATTACCTAATAAATTTGTGTTTTTTAATGGAATGTAGCATGAAACTTATAATAATTGTTGTGTAGGAAATAAGTAATTTATAAGTGAATGTGATATTCCAACATAGCATATTTTTGAGGGTATAACAGTATTAACATATTGGATGTTGTTACTATGGAGATAGTCTGTTATATGTTGAGATAGTAACCAGACATACCATATGTGATGTAGTTTTGATATATGAATTTGGGAAGACCTTTTTGTATGAAAAGAAAGCGAGACTAATAAAGAAATAGGGAAAATTTTGTAGGATTACCAATAAACCAAAGGATGTAGGACTAAGATTTATTTATAGAAATTTCAAACTACTAATAAAATTGTTTTTGCTTCCTTGTATAACATTTTGGTGAGCATCACATTTTACTTGTGAACTCCATATTATTAGGATGATATTGAAAACTAGAAATTTGTTATTAGAAAATGACTACTGTAATAATGCTTGGTTTAAAATATTTGATCAAGAGTGATGCTTGGAATGTTTCAGAAGATATATAGGAGGCTTTATTCAGGTGTTTGAACATTTGAGAGTCGTATAAAAAATGCCAATTGAAGATAACTAGTGGGATGGAGAGAGAAAGTCAAGAGCTGAAAATTGACCATTTGTGAACAACTTTTGTTTCTTAATTGCAAACCTGCTTGCAGTCCCTTCCACGCATGCCTTAAAAATGTACTAAATGATGTTTTAAAAATAAAGAATCTTCTGAAGTATGGTAGCTATGTGATTAATCTGAACTAGAAACATTATCAAAACTTAAATGTTGTTAAAATTACAAATATCTATTAAAATCATTTTGGTGGACTTTGTTGTTGTTTTTCAGAGTTAGACTTGTGGAAGGATGTGTTGTTGTTTATTTGCTTAAATTCATTCCAATATCTGTTGGTTAAGTACAAGAACATGAAAGATTACATTTAGCTTGATTTAGTGAACTTTAATGGTTAAGATTTAGAGAGCAAAGGAGTAATCTTTCAGGTCTTCTGTCACCTTATATATGATTGATTTCTTATGTAAGGCTTACCTACAAGTCACTTATGATTCTGTGAATTCAAATTTGGAAAATTATCTCAACTTTATTTTAAGATATCAGTGTCATATTTTTGTTCTGCATTCTTTATGAATAGCACAGGTTTGTTTTAATGCAAAAATATTAGTTAGAAAATATATTTTGAAATAGTTTCTGATAATATGAGGAGCAAGATAAAAGAATGCTAGAGAAGACAAGCCTAAGCTTTATGTTACTGAAAACAAAACCTGTTAATGTGTATTTATCACAGATTTTAAAAGTAACTATGGCATTGAAATATGGTCAAATTGTTTCTCACATAGCTATTTGCTTTCTAAATAATATCTTAGCCATTCTGAATAAAATATTTTGGTTATTCAGTAGTATTAGTAGTTTTTGTTTAATAAGTTTATCACTAATTATTCTGATAATCAAGACAAAATAACTAGCCAAGATTATTCACTTATCGTCCTTGTAGCTGTATTTCAAGTTGTGTTTTTGAAAAGCTTTAGATGTAGGGAAAATTTTGAAATCATTATAAAGTTTTTTATTTTAGAATTAGTTGTCAAAAGCTTCACCATAGCTTCTTTTTCCTGACAAAGTACTAACAATAGAAGATGTTTTGTACCCTGAGATCAGACTAAATCCTGTTAAATACATCACTTTGCTGGATTGATTTGTGACTTATGAGTGGTGGATCAATAAGGTTGGGCATGCAGACGTGAATATTAGAGGTAGCAGTTTTATGCTTTGGTAGCCTAGATCTAGTCTCGTTATTTGGTAAAATTATTTCTCTTTTTGACGTATGAACTTTCTGAATTACTTACATTATAGTGTGATGCGTAAATGGTTTTGAATGTTTGTTGTTTAATAAATGTTATTGGGTACACTTAGTTTGGTTTTATGAATGAATTGATTTTGATGCTTTGATTGTTTAAGTGGAGGGTGTGGTTATGAAACAAAGACCTTTTCTTACCTACATTGTTCTCATGTTTTGTTACACATGACCAATATCTCATACTCAATGATAATCATTATCAAAATATATTATAATTGTAAAACAAGAATTACTATTACTCAGAGTTTTAAACTAGCTCCTAACTTATACATGCTTGTGCATATCAATTTTTCTGTTGAAAATCAGAAAATGTACTTGTATATTCAAACTTAATGATTTTATGAAGATGGATTTGTGTCTGTGTTTTTCCTTTCTCTCTTTTTTTTGTACTAATAAATATTCAATAACTTACAAGTACATGAAAGTAATGTTAAACTGAATATTGGTAATTTTTTGTAACTTTTGTATAAATATGTTTACATTTTTCTGCTTTAATTAAAGTAAATATTTCTTATCAATACCTTTAAACAAAGTAAGTAATAAAATGGCACTTGTGCATGGGTAAAATATTAAAACAAAAATACAGTTGTTCTATAATAAAATAAAGGTGAGTGGATCTTACAAGACAGGACAAAATTAAGTTCAGAACTCTCATTCTGCAATTGTATTGACTATGCCTATTTCTCCATAAAAAAATCAGCATGTTCATATCTAGTTATTAAGTCAATAACATTAAATGATAAAGCAGCCCTAATTTCAGCTAACTACGATTACAAGCTTGTTTTTACATTATAAGGAATGGCTACAAATGGTAATGATGACAAATTATTAATCATGATTATGTCTTTACTGAAATTGTTTACATTCTAACATCCAAATACAAATACCATGTAATTGTGTATACTACAAAAACACTCTGGGTAGCTTGTTCTTCAAATTAGTATGACAAATATCTTGTACTTTAAATTATTTGGTATACAGGCATGTGTGTGTGTGCGTGTTTTTTAGACAATGATTTTACTATATAAGCCATTTTTGATTACAATCTTTAAAGGCATAATATTAAAATTTTTTATATTGATGAAACAGATTGAGATTAGGCAGGAACTAAATATTAGAGAATCAATAGCAATTAAGAAAAAAATATATTATTTTGAGTAAAGATAGCAGTCCAGGTGTGGAACAAATGAAATCTGTTTTTTAAGCTCTTCAGGTAGGGTTTTGTTTGAAGTTGAGATGGAGCATAGGGTGTAATGTAATATTATGTAAGTTAGGGGATATATAGATGTAAAAGTCAGTACCTGATACTTGATTTTTAATACTTACTCCTGTAGTGTTTCTAGGGCTGTGTCCTGTTTTTAATCAAGCTAATTTATTGTGCAACTTAGAAAGTCAAGTAATTAATGTCTAGATTGAAGGAACTCTCCAAATCAAAAATGCATAAAGTGAAGATTTTGGTGGTCGTTGTTTTCTTTACTATTATAAAAATACACTCAACCATTGAGATATTAGCAACAATTAAACACTTCATGATTAAAAAAAATTTAAATCACAAAATATTCTGTGATTGATTTTACAGAACCAAGGTCAATAGTGAGTCCATGTCAGCACTTGATACCTCCAAATCAAAGTTGTCCCTCAATCTGGATGTTAATTACTTGACCTTCTATCTCCAAATCAAAGTTGTCCCTCAATCTGGATGTTAATTACTTGACCTTCTATCTCCAAATCAAAGTTGTCCTTCAATCTGGATGTTAATTACTTGACCTTGTACCTCCAAATCAAAATTGTCCCTCAATCTGGATGTTAATTACTTGACCTTGTGCCTCCAAATCAAAGTTGTCCCTCAATCTGAATGTTAATTACTTGACTTTCTATCTCCAAATCAAAGTTATCCCTCAATCTGGATGTTAATTACTTGACTTTCTACCCTCAAATCAAAGTTCTCCCTCAATCTGGATGTTAATTACTTGACCTTCTATCTCCAAATCAAAGTTCTCCCTCAATCTGGATGTTAATTACTTCACTTTGTACCTCCAAATCAAAGTTATCCCTCAATCTGGATGTTAATTACTTGACTTTCTACCCTCAATCTGGATGTTAATTACTTCACTTTGTACCTCCAATACAAAGTTATCCCTCAATCTGGATGTTAATTACTTGACTTTGTACCTCCAATTCGAAGTTATCCCTCAATCTGGATGTTAATTACTTGACTTTCTAGTTTTCTAGTTTGGTATTGGATATTTTATTTGGAAGACATTTTGTATATTACTGGTAAACCTGACTTGTTTTCTACTTTGGTATTGGGTATTTTATTTGGAAGACATTTTATATATTACTGGTAAACCTGACTTGTTACTGTAGATTTGAAGCATTTGTGAGAACTTATACAAACCTTAACTTACAGATAATGAGAACATATATTTGTCTTTGTAAACTTTAACTGGATCTAATTATTTTTTCAGTTTACTCAACCCAACTGAGATTTAAAGTGATCTTTCAAAAGTGAAATTAAGGTTTACAGAATAAAGAAGCAAAGCCTGAGTGAAAAAAAAACTTTGAAATACAATTGGGATTGTAAACATGGTAAGTTAGCAATCTAATAATACAAGTATTGTTTATAAGTTTTGTATTTTTCTCCATTGATTCGTTGCATACGTTGTTCTGTAACTTACAGAACTTTGTCTCTCCTTTAATTGTTGGATGTGAAAGCCTATTTTTGTCATGGTTTGGATGTCACAGTGCTGACCTTGCCTTGAATATCACAATAATGATCTTCCATGGTTTGGATGTCACAGTGCTGACCTTGCCTTGAATATCACAATAATGATCTTCCATGGTTTTGATGTCACAGTGCTGACTTTATCCTGGTTTAAATGTGACGGTCTAATCTTACCTTGGTTTAGTGACAGTGCTGACTTTACTCTGAATTAAATGTGACAGTCTGACCTTACCTTGGTTTAGTGACAGTGCTGACTTTACCCTGAATTAAATGTGACAGTCTAACATTACCCTGGTTTAGTGACAGTGCTGACTATACCCTGAATTAAATGTGACAGTCTTACTTTACCTTGGTTTAGTGACAGTGCTGACTTTACCCTGGATTAAATGTGACAGTCTAACCTTACCCTGGTTTAGTGAAAGTGCTGACTTTACCCTGAATTAAATGTGACAGTCTAACCTTACCTTGGTTTAGTGACAGTGCTGACTTTACCCTGAATTAAATGTGACAGTCTAACATTACCCTGGTTTAGTGAAAGTGCTGACTATACCCTATTTTAGATGTGACAGTCTAACATTACCCTGGTTTAGTGAAAGTGCTGACTATACCCTATTTTAGATGTG